TCAAAAGTCTTTACTTTTTTTTGTCTTTGGCAATAGCCATTCTAGTCTTAATATTGTATTACTTTTGGAGTAAATATTTATTCTTTTTGAATTATACAAGAGTTTTTTAAGGTTCTTCTTGTTTTGATTTATGTCCTCAACAATTTATTGTACACTTATCAGGCATGCATAATGCAATTATGGATGAAGAAAAGAACCCCAAAGATAAAAATGGAAAGATCATTGAGAAAGGTGACTATTGGATTAGTGAAAATATATATGATATAATATAAAATAATAAAAATAAAAGTGGATTGATTTAAGGTTTATTAAGATAGATTTAATATTTTTTAAAATTAAACCAAATTATTATTTTTATTAAAAATCTAAATATGTCAAAATATATTTAAATTTTAAAAAATTAAGAAAAACATATATTTATTTATTATTTTTTATAATATTTTTTGGTAATTTTAATATAGTTTTTAAAACCTTTTTTAAAACTTTCTTTTTAAATAGGTCGAAAAGAAATTCTAAAGAACAATATTAGTTATATAATATAAGAAAAAAATACATTCAACTTTATTTTTTTCTTTCAAGGCTATTAGGTTTATTTTTTAAATATAAAGCCAACTAAGAGAAGCTTCTTGATTTTAACCAATCAAAAGATTTAAAAGTTGTAACCCTCTATTTTATTTCCTAAATATCAATTGATGAATTTAAAAAATATAATTTTATGCTTGATCTTATAAGTGCCAAAAATACATAAGTCTATTGGGATTTCTTACAAAAAAACAAAAGCTAGTTTTAAGACTAAATTCATATATACTTGATATTATGGATATTTTTATAGAGATAATATACAATAATGAAAGCAATATTGATTATGCCTTGAAGTCTAGTCATAGGCTTGCAAGATCATTCTTGTATGTATTTGTAATAAGCATGATATTATTACAGACAATTAAAGAAATAAATGAGACTTCTTTAGAAGCTTCTAATTAATATTAATATAGAATTAATTATAGAATTAATAATGGTATTGTTAGAAGCATTACTACTATAGTATTCACTTTCTCTTATTTGCAATAGAAGATTAATTCTGTTATTAGATTATATTTTTGGACTTGCTATTAGAAGTAGTAGTGGTGTTAAAAAATATATAATGGCAAGAAATATAGCACAAAACAAGATTTTAGTTAAAATTTCCTAATCTTAAAAGAATTATTAAATAAGATATATAGGAGTCACTAGAAAAAACATTATTTCTTCTTTCATGTTTAATAATATTGGAATTGCCTATCAATAAAACAACAAATACAACCAAAAATAATCTTATCAATGTGATGGTTAATAATATATTAGTACATGTGCATATCAATAGATCTATTACATGAAATTGTTATAAATTTTTGAAACAAGGCATTAGATCTAATGAAGCAATTAAATGAGATATTGCACACTAATTTTATTTTTAGAGTGATTTATAATATTTGGATATTAGTTTTTGATTTTTCAAATATTATGTCTAGTATATGATGGTATCATGTTGTAATATGGCCATTAGATGAAATAAGAAAGAAAAGATTATATTACAAAGAAACTTAAATAAAAATATTTTAGAAAATTAGCTTAAAAATATAAATAATAGACAAAGAGGTAGTAAAAATTAATAAGAGTTAATATTGCCTACTTATAAAAGAGGATTCTATTTACTTTCTAAGGCCATAAATAAGGCAATTCAAAATAGATTAAGAAAATAAATCATACATAAATCTTCAAGAAGAAATTAAGAATATGTTTTAGCAAAAATTATCTCAAAATACCAAGAATTGATACCTAGAGAGGGCCAATTGTGAACTAAGATCAAAATTAGTCCTTGAGACACAAAACTATGCATCTATAATGATTATAGGGTTCTTTAGGTGATAAAAAAGTAGGATTTGAGAACAAACTAATGAGTGGTTTTTTAAGAGTTGGTTTTATGTGATTTTTAGGCATATTGAGTTTTTGAATGTTTTTCAAAGTAAAATATTTATACAATAAATTTGATTTTTTAAAAACAAAAATAGATTTACAAATTTGAGAATTTTGTAAGTATTGTAGCATATTTACAAGTAAAATTTTGAGAGTATATTATTGTACTTGTCTTCAATGTATTTAAAAAATTCGATGTCAATCAAATAGTTAGATTGAAGAATATGAGAGTTTTATTGAATTTGGCTCTTGGATATTTAAAATTTAGGATAAGTAAAGGTTTTCGTAATTCAAAAAAATCCGCTAGTTCGATTGAAGTAAAAATTGGTAAAAGAAATTTAGACTTATATATCTATATATTAGCCAATTTTTGAAGCAATTGAACAATTCAACAAGGAGAAATTACTACTAAAAGGTCAGCATCCAAATTGGAGAAGGAAGGCAACCAACATATTAGAGGTTTAGGAGCTTTTGCTTTTGATTGATGATTTCAAATTTTCTCAAATTTTTTATGCTTGTTAATTGCTTGTAGATTTAAATGTAGGTGAAATTTGAATTGAAATCAATAGTTTCATTAGTATTTATTGAGATTTTAAAATAGCTATAGGAATTGATCAAGATTTACTTTGAATTTTTTTGGATTTGTTTAGGATTTTTTTGAGGTCATTTTAGGATTTAATTAAGATTTGATTAGGATTTTTTTAGTATTTAAGTGTTTAGGATTTATTTAAAATTATATTAGGATTACATTATGATTGTTTAGGATTGATTTAGGATTACATTAAATTTTGTTTATAGTTGGTTTAAGATTTTATTAGAGTTTGTTTAGTATTACATTAGGATTACATTATGATTGTTTAGGATTGGTTTAGGATTATATTAAATTTTGGTTATGGTTGGTTTAGGATTTCACCAGGATTTGTTTAGGATTAAATTAAGTTTTGATTAGGATTCATTTAAGATTTCTATTTTCAATATTTTAAAAGATTTCTTTGATATTTTTTTAGGATTTTTTTATTATATATATATTTTAAGATTAATTTATAATTTCTTTATGTTTATTTTGTGATTTTTTAATGACTTCTTTTGAATTTGATTATAGATTGATAAGCACTGTTAAGATTTAATTAGAGTTTGTTTAGGATTCTATTAGAGTTGTTAAGACTTTGTTATTGCAAATTCTATTTACTTACTACGGCCAGGTATTTAGTACATTTTCTAGCAAACTTTATGGAATATGATAACGGCTACTCATAGATAGTAATCTTAAACTTGGTAGAAAATTTGTATTGATAATTATGTATGGATTTCCAACTCATTTGTTTATTAAATTTTTACTTAATTCCTTGAGTAATTGGTCATGAAAGATATATTGAAGAAGTTGGTATTTTTTGTGAACATAATAAATAAATTTTACATGACTTATGATTACTTCAAAAAGATTTAGAAGAAAATTTTAAAGAAACCCTTAGAATCAACATTATTTAGCTAGATTCATTAGACGACATTACAAATTTTGTTATGCAATTAATCAAAACTAAAATCTTTTTGATTTGGCTTAACTCAATAGTTCTTAAAAGAGATTTAAATGTTAAAATTTAGCAATTTTTGCAAGAGGTCTTTATTAATTACTTGTATTACAATAAACTAGCTTTACTATCCAAATTCATTATGCCTATTTGCATTGCAATTGGTCATACTAAAGGCAATTATGTTTTACAATATATGCTTGCTTTGTGTACTTGAAGCTTCATTCTAAAAGCATAAATCTAGAAGATGTCCATTTCCATCAACAATTGGATATAAGTCTAGCAAAGCAAAAGTCAGTGTTTGATAAGCTAGTATATTGCTTTAAATACATTATTCATCTATTACATGTGTTACTATTTACCATGGATCTTATATTTGATAATATGCATCAAAATCTTATTCATGATTAATTATTAGTTGGCAACACGAATGTGATGCAATTGTGTTACAATGCCAATAAAAATTTTAAGTCAAGAAGATTTGGATTTGTATGAAAATTTTCTAAAAAATTTCACATTATATTGCAAGTGTTTCATGACAATGCAATATGTCATCATCACTTCTTGATACCATAATGGTACACAATGACAACAATGGCATGAAATTTGATAAGACACAATATCTTGAAGATATCTCAAACCTCTTCTTGTTCAAAGACATAGTTGACCCTTGAAACCATTTAGAACATTTAAAACATCCATTTTAAATGACCTAATTTTAAATAGCTCCCTATATATGAAGCTCACCTTGTACCCTTGCTTTCTCATGCTCAAGATTTAGCCAATATTCTAACCAATGTTTTCAGGAAGATTTTTGAAAAACTATTATGTTCTACTTATGAATATGTATTACACTTGGTCACTTGATATTAAGTGGTAAGTTGCATTTATCCAATCAAAATCAACAAGACAAACATGTATTACATTCGATCTTACGTGGCAAGTCCTTGCTATTGCATTTGCTGATCAAAATCAACGAGACAGACAAAGGCAGACTACCAATCAGTCAAGGAATTACGATTGACTGTTAATCTCTGCACGACAATCTTGCGCAGACAAGTATCGTAGGACATGATCTGAATTTCCTTGATTGTTCCGATGCCCAAAAACATAAGATTATGTGAGTGTTAGGGACTGTGATAGTGTTTATAAATACGATAATGATGATACCAAGCTCATCTGCTGCAAGCAGTATGCTCAAGTATGCATCATCAGCGTTTCCGAGGGACATTAGTAAGGTGTCCTGAGCTGACCCACTAAAGGTGACTTTTTAAAACCTACACATTACCCTTCCCAGTGATCACTATTAACAATTTGTTTCTTACGGGCATTGCATAGCACTGAATAACGAAGAATAGTACGACATTTATGAACCCACTCGTAAATTACACAGATGTAAGACCAGACATTTACCACTGACGCCGGAATATAGGTATCTAAAGCTTACAAAATATCATGTTCTTTAACGCATGAGGATTGGAAGGATGCAAATACACCCTGCACGCAAATATAAAATACTGTAGGAAAATAGTCCAGATGGATAGATTGAATTCCAAGAACAGGGTAGATTTACAAAAAAAATGACATGGAAAAAACGAGACTTTCTTTGGGGTTCAATCCCCGTAAAAAGAGTGTAACAAAGGGTCCTTCAAACGAATTTCCACCTAGTGCCTCCTCTGATATGCCCAAGTATTTCCGTTTCACAGCCATGCGACGGTTGTGACCCTGTAGTGCAGGGTTGCGTACCCCGAGACGATCTTCGACATTTTCAACTCGGGACAGCACCACGTATTCCAGGGATCCCTCATTCAACACCATCTATAAATTACGTCCATGAGATCTCGTTGAGAGCTTTAAGGAACCTCAGATGCAGGGCCTGTTCCATAAGAGAAGGTCCCTACAACGAGTTTCGATCCCAGCGTGGTTCTTGCACTTGGATGCAGGAGCGGGTAATTCATATCCTCAACATTCCCCTAAGTAAATATGTTTTCCTGGAGGCTTGAGAGCTATGTTCAATCTGTATCAAAGGACATAAGCTCAGCCAAGATGCAGGTAGCAACCAATCATTGTGTTCCCATACATCATTGAGAGGCTCCAAAATCATGTGAAAAACTGGTCTCAATTCCAGAGACTTCCCTTCTAAAGCTCTGCAAGATCTCTATTTGCTTTTACCATTCAACTGGTACAGGCCATGCTCTCGAATTCCTGTTTCCTGGAGTGGACAGGCAATTTTCTGCCCCAGGATCCCTCGTTGTCAACTATGCCATATCGTTCATCGTTTCCATATAAATTGCAGGGCGGCAAGGACTGAGCACTGACAGTTGAACTCCCTTTCCGCATCTCCTGAATCGTTCGTAAGGCAGCCACGGTACTCTTGAATATGCCTCCAGCAGCATGCACTACAATTGACAAAAATGTCAGTCAAGTATGGGGGTAATGTCCAAATGTTAAACCTGTCTTATAGTTAAGTTCAAATTCAAGTTAAGAAGCTTGTTCCAACTACCTCGTCAGCACAGCGAAACTGAATACAGACTACCACTAAGAAGAACCAACTTACTCATCAAAAGGGATTACAAAACGTCGATAATGTTGAAATGTGTCCAAAAGCATCAAGAAGACGAAGATACCTGCCGGATATGAACCCTCCTGTGATTCACTTTGAGCTTGCCCTGTTACACCGAAAAGTTCGACATCGATGCTCTCTTCAATAGGAACAGCGGGGAAAGTCGATAGAAGAGTCTCACAATCTTTGACAAGTTCCGAGAGAAGCTCTGTGGAGAAGAATGGCTGCAAGAGCACTCGTCTGATGAAAGGCAGACGAAGGACCGTTCCTGTGCGCTTGTCATGCTTCTTCAATATCTTCACCAGCCCTGTACAGTGCAGACAAAGTGACGTTCAAGCAAAAACTGATACAGAAGCATAAGATCACTCCCGAACCCCATAAACTCCTAAAAGATTACAAGTGCGGGTTGAACTACTCTCCGTTGGCAACGTTCGAAAGTCAAGGAAGAGTAATGTGCAAAAAACAAGTTAACATCCTCCAAGTTTACATAAGACAACCAAACAGCTCTAGATTGCACGACTTTGTGCGATTTTTCATCTAATTCTCAAGTTGAATGAAATAGAAAATCCGGGTGATAGGAATCCGGCTCCACTGAAAAATTGGCGTTCGGAGATATGTAGTGGGAACTTGATTCGCAAGTTTTTAATTAACAACCAGAGAAAAAGCAATGTTAGCAAGTCTAACCTGTGTAATTGAGAGTGCTATAACTCTTCATAAGTACCACTTCTCCATGTAACGTGACAAGTCCCGTGCGGATTGTCAGAAAATCCTCATTCCAGTCTCCTTGATGCACTTCTGCATCATTTCGCTGGCGCAACCTCTCCAGTCTGTGTCTCAGCTCCTGTATCACAGAAGTTTAGATACAATATGGATCATAATTAAACTTCGTACGCAGATATCATTACTAGGATTGTTATTGCTATTATTGACTTAAAACGATGGACGCTACTATTTCCTGCTCGGAAGCTCAAAAGCCTGGTGCACGGAAAAGATAAACATGAACGACAAGAAAGAGGAAGATGGGTGACTATGATCACTCTCGCGAATTACAAATTCAATCAAGTCGTATTTCTTTTCAGAACCTACTATAACATAGATATCAAAAGCCCTCCCAGACACCATTGCATGGTTCATACACAACAGCCTCCACCCTGTCACTGAAATAGAACTCATGCATCTTCGTGGGTGTCGCATCACATCCTATGCTCTAACATTAATTATTTATCGCTACTGAAAAGATTCAAATCCGAGGGCAAGGGACAGAAAGTAGGTTAAGTTCCTACATCCTGCCAATGTGCAAGTTAATCGTTCGCTTTGACGAGCATAGACATATGTAAACGTAGGGAGTGCATTTTTTGCGTTGCATATTCTGTAGGGTTTCCCTACCAAGGACCGCATGAGCTCAATACGTGAAACTAATCAAATAAAGCCACTGAGGCAGGCTGTGACGACAAAAACGAAGCGGTCGAGTAAACAATTGCTAAGCCAGATCTACGTCTACATATCAAATTAAGGACGGAAAAGTCTGCAATTTCAAGAGCCATGATTCTACTCACTTGTACACGGATGACGTAGTCTTCTTCTTTCTCCGTGAAAAAGCTGTTGAACTTCTCAAGCTCAACATTCAAGAGGTGCAAAAAATCCTCCTCATCTTTCGTGAGGTCCTTTTCCTCTCCAACGGCGCGAGGATCAACTGGCCTGGAAGCCAAAACCTCCCTCTGGACGGGCAGTGATAACACATTTTCTCTCCCGCTATTGCGTACTACGACCACCTCCTCCCTGCCTCCAATCTTCCTCTTGGTTCCAACACATCCATCACCTCCTTCCCCGCCTACCCCCTCTCCCGCCGCTCCCTCGGTCCGCACGGCCATCCCTGCTTCCCATCTCACCCGCTTGGTCTCCCGCTCTACTCCATCAGCCAGCGGCCAAGCCACCTCCACGTCCCGCGCTGTAATTGACTCCACGGACGGCCGATCGTCACCCTGCTCTCCCTGCCCTGTCTCGGCGTCCGCCTCATCCTCCAACTGCACAAACGCCGCCGTCGGTAACGAATTCTCCTGCAAAATAGTGTTAATCACCTTCTTCAGCTGCTTGTAGGACAAGAACTTGTCCCGGTACTCCACCGGCATCTGCTCCAACAGCATCTGCAACAGCTTCCCATACTTCATCTCTCCACTCTACTCCACCTCTTAATCCTCCAATGCCTTCAACGCGACTCTTGCACCTCGAAGGGATCGACCGCCAAAGCAAAGAAGGAGACACGAGCACAAGAACGAGAACAGAGCAAACAAGTGCGGGACGGGGCGGGGCAGGATTCCAAGGAAGCGAGAGGCGTAATGCCGGAGCGGGGTCGGCTACGGGTGAGGCAAACAGAGACACACACACACAAAGCGGAAATCCGAATATTTTTCGACTTCGGCGTCGGATGGCAGGGCGGCCCACTCCCCCCCCCCCCTGGGGATCTCTTTCCCAGCTCTTTCCCCCGCTCATTCCTCACCTAGCTTGCACCCCAACCTTTGGCGGGAATAAGTTGCTCACTTCAGTTCCAATAATAACTTCATCTACCATTGAAATATGCAGGAATGTTATTACTAAGTGTGATTTTGTCAAAATTGACTTGGTACAGCAAGTTAGAGGATATTAATGCATGTTTCTTAAACTGACGTTGAAATGTAGAACACCAATTGGGATGTTAATATGGTTGTAAAAAATATCATATGGAATCATATAAAAGAAACAAAAATCACCAACTTTTGATAAGTTTTTGTAGCAAATAACTATTTTGGAATGTGATATACTTATATTAAAAATAAAATCAAGCTCCTTCTGACACATCAAAAAATGAATACCATAAAAAAGATAAACTTTTGAGTTTTCGGAGCATATCCAAAAGATCAGTTGTGTTGCTTTTGAGAACCATCAAAAATTACAGGGTGTTTTTGTCTTCTTCAATAAGTACAAATTGAGATTAAATGGCGTATCAAAGATAGTAATTGCATTCAGTGCTCCCAAAACCCTAAAAACAAAGAACTTAGAAAAGAAAAATTAAGATAGAGTATAATTCTACAGAACTGTTAAGAAGTGTTAATATGTACGTTGCTGACAATTTCAATGTGATGATTTGAGTTCAACTTGTTTCTTTCTCTACAAGATGTCAATTTAATGGGAAGCTAGTCTCCCAATCTATCAAATCTAACACAATGGTTACAAGACACTGATGTCCATTTGTACCAGTGGGCAATCGGAATTTAGAATAGTCTCTCTGAATGCTCTACAAAGCCTTACATGCGGTCAGATTCAGAGATTGTTGAGGTGGGTTAAATTCATCCAAGTACAAGCGTTTTTATTTGTTTAATTTATTGTTGTTAAATTGTGGGGTAGGAAATATAATTGACTTCTTTCTTACTCTTGAAACTGAGTCCTGTAAATGAATGCACACATTGCAGACACAGCTTGTCTTTAGGATTCTCACAAGTCGTTTCTTTAATACTTTCCCATATGTTGATGCCACCTACTCTTTTGGAAATAATTACTCCAGATCCTACAGAGTCCTTCAAACTCACCGTGGAATATCCTGTCGAGAAAACAAACACTAGTTGGACAAAATGCCATCGGGCACATGAATAGCGGAGGGTAAAGGTAGGACTCGTTTGCGGTATCAATGGATAGGATTCATGAATATGCCGTAATCTAAATCCGAGGTGGAAAACGCAGCCACTAGCTCCCAAACACCAAGAATAAGAAACCACGACGAAGTGGATATTCAAAGATCCATCGGGGTTTTGCCAGGAATCTCGCGGGGGCGTTCTGCTGCGTGGGACCGCGGTGCAGCTGGCCCAACAAAGCAAAGCTAAGAGGGAATCTGATCGGAGTCGAAGAGCATCGAGAACAACTACTGGCATGGCGAACTAGGCGAGGTCTGGCGAACTAGGCGAGGTCCTACTTCCGAACTGGGACAGCAGTCGCGACTTCGGTGCCAGCACCGCACTGACATATCCCCCTTGTCCCCAGTTTGGCACTGCGCTGAAGGTGCAAGTCCGCATTTGAGGTAGTGGGAGCGCAGAAACAGGCCGAGAATGATATGGCCACAACCCGAGTACCTCCGGTAGCCGGGGACAGGCTAACCTGGGACGCTGGAGGCACTGGATTGGGGGAGAGTTGACGCTCTCACGCAAGTCCTAATCCACTCCTTTTCTACAGCCGTTGCCGTTGGAGGCGTGCTTATCGACGTTGACCGTCTAGCACACTGATTGGGGACTTGCGTCGGGAGCAGGGCATCACTTCCAGCTTCGACGCGACTCGGCATCTCAGCACGAATCCATGTTTCGATGGGAGGGGGCAGTGAGTGGGGTGGGCACTGGAGGAAGCTATATTCGACACACAGAGAGAGAATGAGAGACGGAGCTGAGGGAGGGCCAAGATTCTTTCCGACAGGCAGCTCACAAAGCGTGAACAATGAGGGGGATCGATTGTGAATAGAGTGAGTGAGTGTGTGAGTGTAAATGTGTGTGTGCATGCAATGGGATTCAATGGGGGACCGTCTCCGTGCTTCGAAACGGCGATTGGCAATCCTTTCCTGGGACGAGTCGCTGCACGTTTCTGCCCCTCCTGGCTTTGCTCCTATCTGCCCGATACCCCGCAAATCTCCCAATAGGATGGATGGATGACGTAATGGATGAATGCGCAGATTAATTGATAGGTGGGTGCATGGATGAACGTTTATGTGGATGGATGGATTAATGTATGGATGTACGCATGAGTTTCGTGTCGATGGATGAACTTGAAGATGGATGTTTGGCTATGGTACACGTAGATGGATAGATTTGGATGGATGCGCGTATAAGTGCGTGGACGGATGTATTTGTGGATGGATGACTATTCCCGTGTTTACTAACTGGCTTTGTATTCATCCTTATTTCTTTATTCCTTATGACTGTTCAATACTTGTTGGATCTGTACAAAACTGTTTAGACAAGACTTACCTTTGATGATCAAATTCAAAGTATGACATGAACTTTATTGTCTTTTTTTTCAAAATAATCTCTATAGCAATACCATTTTTGTGCAAGATGTTCAATTTATGCTAATGACATATATGACACATCGTTTTCATCAAGGTTGTTGTCAACAACATTATGATATTAAGAATATTTAGCTTTTAAAATTTGATTTTAACACTCACTTCGAAGATAATATAGTAGAAAGGACCAAATATGATACTTTATTAGCTTCTTGTGCCACAACTACTTAATTTTTTAAAATATTTTTTAATGCTTCAAAAAGACATGATTATAAAAATTCGTGATATAATATTATATATATATATATATATATATATATATTTATTTATATATTTACACACACATACATCCACCCACCAAATAGGATATTTTTTTGTTGAAGATCAACAAGTACTTGCTTAGTTACAACCACATAGAGATTAAGCATAATATGTTGCTAATAGTAAAAAGGCAGCTAAGAGTTAAAGTAAGTTATTGTGGTGGCATCAAGGGTTTAGTTGGATGAGGTAGAAATGGATGTAATATCAAAAGAATGGAAGTTGCCTCGTTGGTGAGCAAACCACCACCTATAAGTAAAGAGTATTCAAAGTAAGAATCATCTTTCTCCACACTTCTCTTAGACTATAGTCCTTGCTCATGCTAAGTGTTTGTAGCTTTTAGACTTCTTTTCTTCAATATTTTTTACTATACCAAAACTATTGTGTCGTATCTATTATATAAGACAACATAGATATAAGATAAAGAGACAAAAATACAATTTGATTGAGATGTAACCTTGAGAACTTTGGAAATGCAAAGTGGTTGAGGTTGTTGGAGTTGTTGGGATTTTGAAAACACCTTCTTTGCCAAAGCCTCCTCTTTGGTCCTTGCACCCTTGAGGAATCCGAACTTGAATTTTATTTATTTATTTTTAGAAAAAACCCAAAAGTTTTTTGTAATCATTTCATGCATTTTTGTTTTTTTCCTAGTTCAATTGTATGCAAAATGTATAGGTTTGTAACCAGGGCAATACTACAATTGAAGTGCACATGCATGCCAATCTTTCTAAGAAAATAGACCAGAAGGTGGAGTGACTTAATTCATTTTGAACCTAATGCTTATATTGATGTATACAAGGTTCTCATTTCTCTAGACATGCTAAATGTTTATGAATGTTGTGAACATTGCTTAAATGTTTTAAAACATAATGTTTATTATTATTATTATTATTATTATTTCCTTCAAGTGTCAATTTTTAAGGTATAAATTTTAAATTACACATAGATTTGTTTTAGATTGTGATTATTCACATGTAGGGTTAAGACAATTTATCAATAGGTGATGATTTTTTATATGACTTCTTTTTGTGATTTAAATTTTTACAAAGAAGAAGAAGAAGATGAAAAAGAGTATCAAGAGAGCACATGGAGTTGCGGTTGGCTATTCAATAAGAAGACGATCTAGAAAGGATCAAGGAAGAAAGTAGATGTCGAAGGCAATCAATTCTAAAAAAATACAAACAATAGCATCAAGAGTAGCAACAACAAGAGACAAAAGTGGACATTTTTGAAGTCCCAACAATTAATGCAAGTAAGTTATTCAATGGAATCAAAAATATTTTATTTTTAATTAGATTTGATATTAATCTAGTCATGCATTTAATTTTTTTCAAGTTCAATATTTTTTTCTTATAAGTATCTTTGATCAGGGTATTTTAAGTTTTGATTTCATAATTTTCAAAGTTGAAATAATTTTAATTTAAAAAAATAAAGTATAGAGCATAATCAATTTTGAGCTAAATTGCAGTTGGTCACTTCGTATCTTCAAGGATAGAGTAGAATCCACCTCTAGCTCTTTATGAAAACAACAAGATGCAAGATAAGGAAGAGACTTTTAATAGCATAGAAATTCATTTGAAGTAGAAAAATGTTATAAATGAAAATGCTTAGAATGAGAGTGCATCAGAAACAAGTGACTTGGGATAGGGATCACCAAAAGTAAATCCATTATACAAATTTCATACTCTTTTGGAAGCTAGAATTCTACGGTTTAGTTGGTGGATTTTCTATCACCCACTTTGAATCTGGATTAGGACCATGAAGAGTGAGATTGCAACCCCCAATCTCCTTGACAAGCTATCAGATCAATGAAACAATATTGATGAATGATGATCTTTGAATTCTAAGTTTTAGAATTGTCTCAGTTATAATTGTACTTTATTATTATTCTTGTTACTGTAATCTAAAAATAAATAAAAAGTTTCGACTATCAAAATTAATAACTTTTCTTTTTTGTAGAAAAAACAAAGGACTTGCATGATTGTCATACAATCAAATTGGTGACATAATTTAAGAATCTTCAAATAATGAAACTGCCCAGTTATCAATGTCTTTTGTCCATGTCATGGCGTCCAAGCAACCAATTGAACTCAATAATATGTCTTTTATCAAAATAATTTAAAATAACAATTGAACCATCCTCAAATTTAAAAGATAATGGATCCAACAATGTGAAGGTAGAAGCTATACAACAAGCAATTATTATCATTTCAGAGTTCAATGTATATATATATATATATATATATATATAATAGATGTTAATTATACATAATTATTTATTTTCCCTTATTTTGTACATAGGTTCAACTTGGGCTATTTTGTTGGAGTTTGATGTACTAGATTTTATAAGATTGGTGATGCTAGAATTTGACAGTTTCTTCAACTCATGATCTGTTATAAGACGATGGTAGTACATATCCTTAGATAAATCTCCACCTAGAGGATTTTATGACTACAATATTTACTACAGCATTGAGCTTGTCCAACATCCAAACACCTTTGATGTAGGACTCAGTGATAACATGAAGAAAGTCATGCCAAAGATGTTTAGAGCTTGCCATGACAGGGGATTCATAGTAGATAGTGAAGGATAAGTGAAGGGCATGGTGACATTACAAAACATCCTGATGCAATTCTTTTCTCCTGTTGTAGAGCCACCCAATATGCACATGGGTGGATTCTTTGGCACTACCTTAGAATAGACTAATGCTTTCTTGAGCCTTGACTCTATTGTCATGCTCCATTAGAGTTGATTCTAAAACTGTGTGTGTAGATTTACTATAGTGCTATCAAGCAAAGTGAACATGGCACACAATCTACATGGATGATGACTTAGCCAGGATATGTTTTAGTGTTTAGAATTTTATTGTTAGAGAAAGAGAGAGAAAAGAAGTAAATTATAACTGTGATTATGATTCTTTTATATCTTTTTACATGTTTTATAGTTAACCATTGTACACAAGTAAGTGGATTTACTAAGCATGCTTGAAATTTCACAATTGGAATTTGAATTGTTTATCATTTGTCTTTTTGTTATTATTTTGCACTCTTAAGTGTAACTTTGTTATTATTTGGTTGTTGGAGGTTATTCACACACACACTTAATATGCTTTGTATCATTTACTATATTAATCACTTAACTTCTTCTTTTTTCCATCATTTTTACACATATATTAAAGGAAATATGTTTAAGTTATTAGTATTCAACATAACCATTAAAATGGTATTAGTTTTCTTTGCTTCAAAACTAATACCATTTTAATGGTTATGTTGAATACTAATACCTTTAAAAACAATTGTATTGATACATTTGACTTTTAAAATATTTATCATTTCAACTTCCATTTGGTCCATGCAACTTCAAATCATTATGCTTTTTGATTACATTTTATGTTATGTTGTACCTTTGCATAATGTCAATCCTTCTTGTATTTACACCAAATATAATGATGATCAAAGGCAGCATATTGAATCTTGTCTCATCAAATTATTTTACCTTATTTTCACTGTACACCCCTACTGTTCACATATCTCTTTCTAATCCAAATATGTAGCTTGATAAAATTTGATGATTTAAAACTTATCATTATTATTACATTATTATTATCATCATTTTCATGTGTCTACCTTCTAAATAATTGTATTCTTAATGTAAAATTAGATAGCTTGTTCAAGTTTAAACTTCAATTAGTGTTTTTCTGCTGTGTTCTCTAATTCTTATTTGCTTTGAGCTTGTTCAAATTTTCACAATTAGTATTATGGAACATGAATTTATTCATTGTTCAAACCTTTCACACATTTGTGCTACTACAAAGCAAAGTATTTTATTAGTCTCTCTAGATTTATAACAGCATCCTATTTGCATTCATTGGGGGGGTTTTTGTCCTCAACAAATACCAAATCAACAAAATATCCACCTACCAAACAAAGACCAAGAAGGTAATTCTTAATTCATGTATACGCCACCACACCCCCTAATTCATGTAAACTTTTTGAATGTCATAGAGAGGCACTATGATCTTCACATTTTGCAATACATCAAATGATACTTTGAAAACCAAAACATAGTTTTCTTTTGTCACTGCATGCTATGGATACGCCGAAATTAGATATTGAGTTGTGGCGTCAATATGAGTTAATAAGTACGACAAGCAGTATATGTCATCACTATTAGAGCCCACTGTACACAGTCCACAGCGACACCATTGCATTATGTTATCACTCATGATAGAGCAGTGCAGAAAGAGCTGCGTGGGAAAGTTTCCCGAACCTTCTTTTGCACTTAAAAAAATACACAGAAAATTGCATAGCTAGAATTGGGGGCAGACATGCAAAGAGAACATCTGGAGCCTTTATACCTTTCGACTCCCATACAGTATCAAAGGTAAGGATTATTCAATACACACATTTCCGGAAGTCTAGTAGTTAATCAAGAGATTCTGAGTAGCAAATACCTCTTAAATTGGTGAAAAACTTTATTTCATACCGCAAAAATGCACTGACAGCATTGGTATGAAGAAACTAGAAACTGAAAATGATACTACGATTCTAATTAGTTTTTTTGGTAGCAGTCGTCATCCTTGAGAGTCTGTCACAAAAACTGTTCAGATTGCCCTGTCAATAAATCCACTGCCGTTGAAGATAGTCCATTTATAGAGATGTGGTTCTTCACTCAACTCTTTACCCTTGTGCTAGCATTACGAGTGCTGACCTTGCGATTCGAATTAATGAATACAGCGCTGATGCAGTGAAACCGCCCATCAACTCATCGTGATACCTGATGCCGAGGGGGTTCTGAGGCTAGCAGACCAAGTCTCCTTAAAGAATGCAAATACAAACACAGCTGTGAACCCTGACTCGCAGGCAAGGCATCTGCTAAAAAGTCGTACATGACCACATCCTAACCATCGACGGATTCTTTCCGACCAACCCCGCTAAGGAAACAAGCAACAAACGCTCATCTTTGAAAAACATAAAAACAACATTTACATGGGATTGCTCCAGCTACAAAGCGACTGAGGAAGTTGGAAGAATCACGTGCACTCATTTATATGTCTACAATCATGCTAGACTTTCCCATCCTGGACGAGACTTCGCGGGCCAATACCGGTGGAGCGCCACAGGTGCTCAAGGATAGCACCCCACGTTGCCTAACTACTCGAGCTTTCCAACCAAGTATCACACTTCCACTTCTCTATCTGTCACCGACCAGCAAACAGCGGGCTAAACTGCAGCACATCTAGTCTCAGTCGGCAACTCAGTTGATTGCCACGTACCGCTCCGTTCTCATACCCGTTGCTTTCCACATTGGGTGCACGTTCAAAACTGCTGTATTGGTTCCTGATTCGCCATGAAGCATGGCACAGTGAGAAGGTATCATGCATGTCGAACGGTCAGACTCCGCTTATCATACCCAGTCGCCGTCCAGCGTACTAGCTCAAGGACACCGAGTTCCGAGCTGGAATCTTGGAAATTGTCCCAATTCTTCTTACCAGCCAGCTTTCTGCAAAAATCCACGGCTCCTCTGAAAAAGGACTGCCTGCTTCTCCTGGACAGCGCTTCTTGTAAATACTCCGTCCTTAACAAACAAGGATGGTTATGGACAATAGTCCACCCCATGGACAAAGAGGGACCGTTCAACCCCGCTTGAAACTCCGTCCCGGCTTTCCTCACAATCCATAAAAGGTCTGCTACGGTACATGCTGTCCTCCCAATGGGAACTCCCAGCAGAGGGTCATACAAATACACGCACTCAAGTAATGAAACCTAGCCAGATCTTCTTTCTCCAAACCTTAGATCCATTACACTACAGCTGTCATTGAATCACGCATGTGCAGGCCTGTGAAGAATCCTCGTCGTCAGAGTCTTCAGAATCATCCGAATCGCTACTGTTCCACATACAAACAAGAGCACGTCAAAGAAACAACCGTTAATACACAGATTATAAATCCTATGCAAAGAACACTGTCTGAACTATACAATAACGTTACCGAGTTCGACCCAAACCATCTACGGTATTGTATGGCTCTTGAATGTATCTTAAAAACTAGTACAAATCCACGATTCTTCAGCATCTACAATATGACGGCATTCACACCCCATGCGCATGCGCTGCAATTAGTAAATACTGGAATTCTAACACCCCTAGCTCGGCTGCAAAAGAAAAGCGGAAAACTCTCTTACGGTTCCCACGCACAGCACGACATGCAACTCCCACTATCCTGGATCTGGTTCACCATTCCTCTACGGCAAAGTCGTGCAACGTTTGATCGACATCACCACTGCAAGGACTCATAAAAATTAAATAAATAATTTTTTAAAAATAAAACACATGCGAAGAAGGGGTGTCTTACCTGGGCTCAAACTCAAAAACTTCCGTCAAGTCCTTCCCATAGTTATCAAGCCATTGCACTTTCGTCCCCCTCTCACCTTGGCCTTGAACACGCTCGCCAATAATGTCCTCCGACTCTCCAAATCTATCTTTGCCATCCATGGTAGAAGATCCATTGCCGGGATGAGAATTGGAAGGTATCGAAGTCTTATGTTTCAAATTACTCTTGCCTGGTAATTTCTGGGTGGAACCTAAGGCACAACCGTTGGACTGGGCGACGAGTCGATCGCTGGATCCGAATCCAGGTGAAGGCAATGGAGGAACAAATGTTATAGGTGCAGAGGGGGCCATAGCAGCATCCCCGTGCACTGCCGGCGGGTGTGAAGCCTCTTTGCACCGTCCAGAGGCTTCCTTCGACCGGAATCCACAACAAAAACAACCCGACCCGGCAGCGCACCCTCCAGGGGTGTCCTTGTCTGGCGCCAGCGAGGAGAAACTTTGGTTCCCCTCGCTCTCCAAATCCTCTCACCCACCCCTAATCTCCCTTCCGCTGGCCCTCTTGCTCTCATCAATCTCCCTCTCTCTGTTGCATACAACCTATCCCTTCCCACGGCTCATAAACTACACAAGCCCTCAGCTTTCCTCACACTCCCGACACTGAGCCTCAACCTGGACTGATTATGCTGTTATGAACGCCTTCTACCCCCCTCCAACCACATTCCTACGCTGTAATGTCCATCTCAATCTCCATATCAAGATCCCTCTGCTACACAACATGCTGCGGGGATCCACTGCAAAATTTATCATACCATGGATGTAGCTGCAATGCCTTCATGGTCTTAGAGCATCAGAGTGTCAACCAAAAAAGGTACTATCATCCCCAAAATGAAAGTGAATCCAGAGCTACGGAAAAGGAGTAAAAGAACCAGGACGCTGCATTTGGCCGGGATCAGCTAAGCTCCGCAATCTCAGGTATAATCTTGGCACTGAGAATAACTTTCTCTCCGCACTACATTGCGCAACAGCAAAAATCCGCCCCGACTCTACCTGCAAGTAAAAAGCAGTGATACCCGTAAGAACACTCCACAGAGCACCAGCTAGCTACCCATTCCTCAAACTAACATCCCATCTCACAAGGAATAGTCAAAGAAATGTTAAATGAGCTGCGAAGAACCAAGTTGCAGCCCACACGACATCATTGTTAATACTCAAGTCGTAACTACATAATTCTACATGTCCCATTCCTCGAGCCATACTCAACCGCCACAACTACACAATTTAAAATTTCTTGATAGAGCACTCACAACCGCACACTGGAGACGGATTAAGCAATACCCAACGAATTCTACCTTTCATCTCAAAATACAACTGTCAAATCACCAAGACAAACAGAATAAGAAACAGTGAGCAACGGAGAACCAGGAGAAATGATTCATTTCGGCAAACAAACCGCCATTCAATCTCGATATTTCGTGATCAAGAAAGAGCTCCAACTCAAGTGTGCATAAAATTAAGCTTCTCCGCATAGATTTCGACAAAATTACCATTGTTTAAACATTATTCCAGCGCACCGACAAAGAGTTTTCCAGTCCGTATCATGATTCCAGTACAGAAAGAAGGAAAGAAAAAAACTAGGGATCTGCGTGCACATGTACTGTGTTGTTCATCAATCATCACTGTACTTAGCCAAGATCAAACCAGATCGCTTCACTCAAACTATACATGCCCCAATCTCTCACTAAGATCCCCTGCGAAAGTTGAGAACTCGTATATCACACACCCAACGTCCAGCCTCTACTCCTCCTGCTCTCTAAGTCTCCAAATACATGCAATTCCATAAATCCCTACTCACTGCTACAGCTAATATTTACGTTACAGCAGAGCTCTGGCATAAACTCGAGCATTACAGTAGCTTGCAAGATTTTCATCATCATCTTGTTGCAGTTCCAAACTAACTATCCAAAATCTCGGGCTTGGAGGATGCTAGGCAACGTCAAAATGGCAACACCCTAAAACGTAGCGCCTATACGCCAAAACATCCCTCAGCGCGCCCGACAGAAAATAGGACTTTTTCAACCTGCAGTACTGTAAAACGATACGTCTAATCCGGACAGCCACAAGCAAGACGCAAGGCATCAGGACAAGGTTAAGCAAAGCAACAGAGGACAATGTTTACTCACGGTGCTACCTAACCCCCAGACACGGACATTCCCCAAACGAGTCGAAGACGGCAAGTGCAAGGTGTGGGGGACGAGCACGACAGATTGGGGGGGGGGGGGGGGGG